CCTCTGGGCTCTGCACGCCCTGTACCTCAGCCTGAACATCCCTAGGAGTCTCCCTTCCCCAAACACACACACACAGGTCACTGCTTTTGATGTCCCAAGGCTGGGGCACTCAGGCTTGTACTGAGAGTTAGAGGATGGTTCCCCCCACCCCACCAGGGCTTCTTGGGCACCGAATTCCCAGAGCTCTGAAGGAAGTCACTGTCCTTGGTCCCGCTGCTCTTTGAGAGATTTCATAGTGGACATTTGTTTGCCCATATACAAGTGGTCTTATTTCTGCGACATGAGCCCTGAGGGGTGGAACTGGGACAGACCCCTGGAGCTAGAACTGGGGGCCTGGGCAGTGGGGTTCCTGAGCACACCCCACAGGTCTTGGGAGCACTCCCATGGGCTATCTCAGGTTTTGCCTACTGAACACTGACCGCCCTGGGGGGTGTTCACACCCATCGAGTCCCCACCTTGTCCATCTCTCAGCACCCTTTGTCCAACTGGCCCTTGGCACCCTTTGGGGGTGGTGGTGACAGAAAAGCAGGACAAAATAAGGGACAGACAGTGCTTCCTCTGGGACAGAGCAAATCCCCAGGAGGGCTTCTCTGGGGAGGACTGCTGACCCCCAGGTACTGCAGGGCCAGCCCAGGGGCTCTGCTGACAGGACAGGATGTCATTCCCCGAAAAGGTCTCCTGATGAGCACGGTGAGAGTGCTTTCCCTGGAGATAGCACTGGGTGTAGACAGTTCTGGGCATGTGACTGCACTGGGGAAAAACAGAAATGGGCCTGGGGGATTCCCCCAGGGGCCGTTTAAGGAAGGAGGGACACAACAGCTAAGGCCAGGCCCAGTCACCAGGCCCAGTGACCCCAAAGACACCCCTCAGCCAAGGGGGGAGTGCTTCCCGAGAGCCCCCTGCTGATTTATGGTTCACCAGGGTGGACAGAGTTATGGCTGCTAAGGCCTTGCTCCCTCCCTCCTCCCCCTCCTCCCCGTTGGGGTCGGCTGGGGTGGGGTAGCTCTCAGCTGGTTTCCAGATGGGACTGGTGGAGGGGGCACCTGGGGGTGGGAGGCCAGACACCCTGAGCAAAGGGACCTGGCCCGTGTCAGCTGGCCAGGCCTAGCTGCCTCTCTTGCTGTGGTTGTCTCTCTGTCTCTGTCTCTGTCTCTGTCTCAGGCTCTGTCTCTGTCACATGCAGCTCCCCCTTCCCCAAGGCAGCCTGGGTGGGTGGGAGTGGGAGCCGGTGATTTATCACCTGCTGCCTGTCTTCCATCGGAAACGCCAGGGGTGGGCGCAGACGGTGTGGTGAGCTATGGGCCCCCAGGGCCCCGCCACCCACCCCAATGTTGTTGCTCTGTCTGGGCGGCGGGTGCACCCCCCCCACACAAGGTGGCCAGAGCTTAGACCCCTCCAGACCTTCCCAGGGCCTCGTCCACGCAGGCCCCACTCAAGTCTCCGCCCAGTGAGGGGCCGCCCTCTCCCCAGGCTCCCCTTCAACTCCCTAGGATGGAGGGGGCCCACGGAAGACCCGCGTACACATACCCCCGCCCTCAGGTTGGTTGGGAGGTGGCGCAGCGTCTGTTCCACTCCCCTGGGGGAGCTCCCTCTACCGTCCCCACCGGGTATCCTCAGCAGAAGCGGCTAAGGCCAGCTCCTCACAGTCGCCCTCCACGCCCGCCACAGCAGCTCCTTCCAGCCCCGCCCCGGTGCACACAGCAGGGACTCAATAAGTGTTTACGGAGCAAACAGGCGGTGGGAGGGCGGTTGGTGCACCTGGGATGACACCCCCTCCGCCTGGCGGAAGAGGTCCCTTATCTTCCCTGTTGATGGGCTGTCAGCGATCCGAGGGAGGGGAGGAGAGGGGAGCGGAGGAAAGGGGAGGGGAGGAGGAGGGAGGGATGCAGAATTGGCGCGCTCACCCTTCCCTGTCTGCTAGCGGCCGCTGGGCGCATCCTTCCCTGTTCCCATGGGGGTGGGGGTGCGACCTATCAGCCGTCTCGACGTTCACGCCACCAGCCTGGGCAAACCCTCCCTCTCCTGGCCTCTGTTTCTCCGCGGACCCGGGTTGCCTGCCCAGTGCCCACTTCGGCCGCCTTGGCCACACGCGGGCTGTTTCCGCAGACCGCGAGCGCCCTCTGGTGGCCGTACTGGGTCGTGGCGAGTGAGGGGGGAACTGGATGCGGTTTGGGGCGGGAAGTTATCACCCACGCATTTCACAGGCAAGGATAGGAAGGCTACCAGAGGGAGGTCACGGCTGTGTCTGCCCCAGGGATGCCGTCTGGCCCTTCTCGGGGGTGGGTAGTGCTGTTGTCAGAGGACCCTTGGGCTGCAGGGCAAAGGACCCGCCTGAATCAGCCAGTTTGGGGACTAAAGGTGTGGGGGGATGGGTAGCACCTTGAGTTGTCATTGCCTTGTTCTCATCTGGAAGGAGTCTGAAGCCACAGAGAGGACCAGACTGTCAATGGGGAACAGAGCCTGGGGCAGGTATGTTGTCCATTAGATGGAGGACAACGGCTGGGGGGAAGGGCAGGATAGCCTGTTGAGCCAAGCGGTAGAGGTGTGCACTCCTCCTTCCAGCACCGGCCCATTCAGGGGCGCTGAGCTGAGACCATCCTCTTCTCCACACTCCTTGGAAGCTGAGGCCCCAGGGTCAGTGCATGGAGGGTCAGCTCGGGGTCAGAAGTTGGGATGGGAGAGCTCCCAGGAGGCCTGGAAAAGGTTAGCCATTGAGGCCAGGCCAGCGCCCTCTGTGCTCAGTACCTTGGCAGAAGCCAATCTGAATCATGCCCAACTGGCAAAAAAAAAAGAGGGAGAAACCATGGAATTCAGCTGCCATATCTACCAGGGGGTAAGGAAGTTCTTCTTTAGGTCTGACCACATGGTGATGCCAGCCTCTTTCCTCCAACAGAGAAGCTGCAGCTGCTTCAACTCCAGGCTCTCAGGGCTGTGTGCCCACTCTCTCAGCCAGACACTGGCCCAGAAGCCCTCAAGGTTGTGGGCAATGGGCATTGGACCTGGGCTCTTACTGACACTTCCTCATAGTTCCTGCTGGAGTCTTGGCTCACAGCCCAGGGGGGCCTCCTTCTTTTAGCTCAGGGTCATCTAGGACCCCTGGGTCATTTTCTCCTGGGACCTGCATTTGCTCCCTGAAGGCCTCAGGGAGGAGGAAGAGAGGGGGAACCTAGGAGCCTGGTCTTAGCTCTGCTCTGGCTCAGCCAGGGATCCCTCCCTGGCATCTGGTTTCCTCCTCTGGGAAGTAAGGGGAACACTGTCTCCCTGTACCATGTTGGGAGTGAGTTAGGAGGTTGCTGTGTACATTGCTGTGACAACGATTATTACCTCTGACCCCTACCAGGGACTCTGAGTGTGCTGGGCCACCCCTGGGGGTTGGGAGGGTGGCAGTTCATTTGTACAAAAGGGGCCACCATCCCTGATGTGGTGATAAGGCCGGATGGACCATTGGGCAGTCGGCCACAGCCCACAATGGGCCGGATGGCCCGCACCTGCCCACAAAGGAGGGGGTGGCTCCTGGCTCATGTCTGACCGGCAGCCCCGAGATAGCATCAGCCCAACCGGAGGGTCATCCATCTTGTGCCACAAAGACTGGGACAAAGGCCGTGTCAGCGGCAGCCTCCCCGACCTGGTCAGTGGGGGCCGGAGCCTTCCTGTGCCAGGCACCCCGGGCCCGGGCCTGAGGCTTCTTGTTGGGGTCCATGGGGAGCAGCCTTCATTGTTTACGTGGGCAGCCAGGTGGGGGCCACACGGGGGTGGGAGGTGGACTCCAGTAGTGAGGAGAGCATCAGGCCTCCTTTGGGCACCCCAGGCCCCTGGTTAGCAGCTTGTGCCTTGCTGGGCTAAACCCCCAAGAAGCCCCAGGCCCTGGCTGCTCGGCTCGGGGTTCAGGGACTAGGGCTGGTCTGGGCAATCAGGGAGACCTGCCTGTGGGAAGTGGCAGCCAAGTGCAGGACATGATCCCAGATACCAAGCAACCCCCTGGTACCCACTCACCCCCGCAGAGACCTGCCTCACAGGCTGAGCTTCATAATTCAGATGCCCAGGGAGTTCCAGGGGGGGCCATCAGACTATCCTCACCACCTCAGCCCCAGCCCTGGCCATCCTCAAAGCTGTTCACAGGTCATGGTCATTGCCAGTCACACTCAGAACAGTCCTCAGAGCCTTCTCACAGCTCCTCATTGACCCCTCAGATGCTGCCACTGCAAACATCCATTCTCTCTCCCAACTACACTGCCCTGCAGGGCCCTCAATGTCCCCACTGTCTTCACTGTCCCATGTCCTCACTGTTGCTGCGTCCTCACTGTTCTCATGGAGTCCTCACTGCACTCAGTGTCCTTGCTGTCCCTGTGTCCCCACTGTCCCCAGTGTCTTCACTGTCCCAAGTGTCCTGTCCTCAGTGTCCTCATTGTTCCCAGTGTCCCTGCTGTCCCCACTATCCACTGTCTTCACTGTCCTATCCTCAGTGTCCTCGTTGTCCCCAGTATCCTTGCTGTCCCTAGTGTCCTCATTCCCCAGTGTCCTCACTGTTCACCCTGTCTTGTCTCCACAGTGTCTTTGCTCCCCAAAGTGTCCTCACCGTTTCCACACTGTCCTCACTCCCCACAGTGTCCCCTACAATGTGGTCACTGTCCGAGTTCTTCCGTGCTTTCCACTTGAACTTCTGCGAGAGTGAGTGGTCTGGGAGAGGTCACTCACTAACCCGGTGTTTGGCTGGCAGTTATTCTGGGTGGGCGAAGAATGGATGTGTCCCCTTGAGAAGCCTCCCAAGGCTGTTCCTGCGGTTTGCGGAGGGGAATTTCCGGGTGGCGGGGCACAGAGACCAGTCAGATAGGGAGAAGGGTTTATTCTGCGCTGGAGTTTGGCGTGGGGGACCTCGCCGGCGGCTGGACTGCAGCTTCCCCCCGCCCTTGACCTGCCTCAGCGGCCCGGGCACGCGGCGGGCACGCGGCGGTGGGGCGCGCGCCCGGCTGGGGGCCTGTAGGAGTTGGCGTGGTCTTGGAATTCGTGCCCAGGCGGAGGGCGAGACTCGTCCCGGTCAGAGCGAGGGCTCCCCCGGGATGGACTCTGTCGGGTCGGCGGGCCCGCGTCGCTCAGCGCTTCTCGGGGCTCCTCTCAGGACTCGCGGGCTCCCGCGGGCTCCGCCACCAGCGGGGCGGTCAGCGACAACGGGTGCGCGGTGCGGGCGCGGGCGCGCAGCCGGCGCAGGCGGCGCAGCAGCAGCAGCAGCAGCAGCGCGTGCAGCAGCCCGAGGCCGAGCAGCAGGAGCTGCGCCCCCAGCGCCTCCCGGCAGAGAGCGCCCAGCGCACAGGCGGCGCGCAGCTCGTCCTCCGCCAGGTAGGGCAGCAGGCGGCCGCGAAGAGCGGGGGGCGCGGCGCAGCGCAGGTCGCGGTAGGGCGCGCGCTCCGGTCGGCCGGCTAGCCAGGCGCGCAGCGGCACCAGGTGGCAATCGCAGCGCCAGGGGTTGGCCCCCAGGTGCGCGAGACGCAGCACGGGCAGCGCGTCCAGCAGTCCCGGCGGCAGCGCCGTCAGATTGTTGCCCGTCAGCACCAGTTCGGTCGTGTCCAGCGGGAAGGCGGCGGGCAGCGAGGCCCACGTCAGCCCGCGGCGCCCGCAATCCACACGAGTCCCCGCGCAGTCACACGGCGCGGGGCAGCCCGCGGCCAGGCGGCTGGGCGGCGCTAGCAGCAGGAGCAGCAGGCTCAGCGCCCCGCGCGGCCCTGGAAGGGAAGCGCCATAGTGAGCCTGGAGGCCTGTGGGGCTCTTGGGCGGGTCCCTGTGCACCCCGGGGCGCCGGGCCAGGTTCCAGCCCCCGAGGTCCCGAGAGCCTTGCCCGCAAGCCTCTCCACCCCCATCATCTCGTGCGCTGGCTAGAGGTCCTCTCGAAGTCCCACCCAAGTCTCCCTACCGCAGCGCCTCCCAGCCCGACTCTGCTCAAGGAGCGCAGCCGGGGCCCTGCCTGACCCCAGACTCACCGAAGCCCATGGCGAGAGGATGGTGACCCGGCTTGCTCTGGACCGCGAAGCCTGGGCTGGAGAGCCAGGCGATAAGGCTGCCCCGCCCCTGCCAGGCCCCAGATCCCCCACCAAACCGACCACAGCGCAGCCATCCGCCAGAAATAACCTGGAGGCCGAGCGGACAGGCGCTGTGGCCCCAGATAGAGCGCTATCACCAGGGCCCGCAGGCCGCCAGGGCTTCCGCCCCCTCACAACCTCCCAGGGGCACATGGATCACTCTGACACCGCTGCGACTTCACCAACATTGTTTTCCTGTCACCAGGACAGGACGTGGCATTCACAACTGAACAAAACTGGAGAATGGGGTTTGGGGGGAAGGTATCATGCTGGGGGTTGGGGGTTGGGAGGGGTGGGCTAGGGAACTCAGGGCAACAGTGCTGCTGGGGAGAAGGGACCTCCGGCCACAGGCAGGGAATGGCAGTCTAGGCAGGCATAGGGGGTTACTGGGTCACCCACCACCACCCACTACTCCTAGAGCCCTCAGGCCAGGCCACAGCCATGGGTGAGGAGCATGGGTGATCACGGGTGTCCCAGCCCCACCAGCCCCATGAAATCCTTGCCTGCAGCCAGCTGCCCTCCTTTGGTCTGGAGGGATCATGAGTGCTTCTGTTGCCCAGCCCGCCCACTGAGTTACCCGGTGAGGGGGTGAGGAGGTAAGGAAAGACCTGGCCCACCTCGGCACAAAGTGAGGTCTCGGCTTAAGCTGGGTGGCCCGAGGGAGTGGGCACAGGAGGGCTCCCGCATCCACTTTGTGGCACCGGGGTGGGGAACTAGGCCCGGGATGCTGGGGATCTGCTCCCCTCTTCTGCCTTTTTTTACCCACCCACCTGAGTAGGGCCTGGAGTTGGAGTTCATGGCCTTTTAGGGCAGGGGTAGATCTTAAAAGCCATGCCCCAACCTAGCAGCTTCTCCCCCAAGGCCACAGGGGGCCAGCTGTGGTGAGGGGCTGCTCTCAGGCTTCTTGGAAGCAGATACAAATGAGGGGAGGGAATGATGCTGAGAATAAATTAGGGTTGGCTGGGGGCTGTGACCCCGCGTCTCTGGGTCAGGTCAGTAACAGCTGGGAACAGTCCTGGTCTGGGTCACTCTGGGACTGGGGTTGTGCCCAGGTCTGTTGCAGCTCCAGATGATTCCAGGGTTGAGTCCAGGCCAGTTGGGGTCCAGGAATGGGAAGGGCCAGCCTGGAAACTGGCAGTCTATCCATGGCGATGTGGGGCTGGGCTGGGGTCACTGGTCCTGCATTTGCTGCTTCATTTTCTGCAGCATCTCCTGCATGCGCCTGAGCTGGAGGGGAGACAGGAAGAGTAGAGGATGGAGTGAGAAAGGAGGAGGAGGGGCCTGACCCCCCCCACCCCACCCCCAGCCCCTGCTCCTCCCCTGGGGCCCTCATCACCTCCTCATCCTTCATTCTGATGAGCTTTTCTGTCTCTGCGTCAGGTGTAGGCAGTGGCAGGATGGGGATGGGGCTCTCCATGCGGCTGTCCTGGGTCAGTTTGCTGTGGGGTAGACCAGAGGGCGGGAGTTTGTTTGACACCCAGCACTAGGAAGGCCCTCCCCCTCTGAGCTCCCATTGGCTCTGGGACGACAAGATGCACCGTGGGCGGAGGGAGCTATCAGGGAGCCGGGGGCCAAGAGCAGGTCTGGGTGGGCAGCAGGGACCAGATCTCTGTTAGGGAAACGAGGCTGGGGGTCGTGGGGCGCATGATGCGGTCGGGGGTCAGGGATGCGCACCTGGTCATCTGCTGGATGCAGTGTGCACGATAGTTCTCATAGTGCACGTCGCATGTCACGTCCTTGAGGTCATGCATGTGCGTGCGGATAAGCATGTTACGCAGCTTCACGAAGTCGCAATGCGCCTGGTTTTCCACTGTGGGGCGGGAGTGGGTAGCGGGGGTGGGTGCAGGCCCTGGTGGTGGTGGGGGGAGCCTTCCCACCCCCTAGGCGGTGCCCCACTCCTGAACTCACCCTCCACGATCCCCCAGGGGTACAGTCGCCCCCGGACCCGCTGCCCCTTGGCCTCCACCACTGTGTTGCTGCCGATAACCGCGAAGGGCGCACTCTCCTGGGGAGGGCAGGCACACGGGCTCACGCCCAGTTAGTGTGAGTGTGGGGTTAGTGGCTGAAGATGGGCCTGGGCATGCCGTACCTTGTTGGCACCTCCAGCATTACCAACAGGCTCTCCCCAAAGAGATCCTGGAGTTGCCCACCTCTTTTGGCTTCTCGGAAGCGAGGACCTGGCACCGCTTCTACCCCAGGGGCCCTTGCCAGGCGTGTGCCACCAGGCACATCGTCCCCTTCTGACACCACCCCCCATCAGGAACTGCTCCATCTAGCTACCTTTGCCATCCCTCCCCAGAGCTGAGCCCCGGCCTCCTGTTGGTGATGCTGACTTTGGCTGGGGCCAAGAGGCCCACTCTGCTCCTGGCCCAGAGGCCAACTATCCTATGTCTTGTCTCACCACTCTAGATCCTGGGTCACCCAAAGCTATAGCCACCTTCTGGAGCTCAGAATTCTGGGGGCCAGGGCATGAGTAGGCTTGGGACCACAGGGCCCTGGGCCAGACCCTTATGCTGGTAACCCCTTGGAAGAAGACTGAGGAGTAGGGTCAGAGTGGAGCACTAGCCAGCACTGTGCCTTTGGGTCCTGGCAAGTGCCCCAGGACACATGAACCACATGGGGCCCGAACCACATGGGGCCCAAACCATACAAGCCAGTGGGGACATGGGTGACTGTACCCACCCCAGCCCCAGGTGAAGGGGCTCTATTGCCCAGACAAAAGACTCCTGTCCACTGGGTTGGACCTGGATGCTTGGCTCCATGTAAACTGACCTTCGGTTCCCTCCTCTGCCACCCCAGGCTGCTCACCTTCAGTTCCCGATCTTGCTGCTTAAAGTCCTCGTCCTCATCGGAGTCACACTCGGGGAACTGGTACACGTGGATGCCGAACTTGTCAATCTCCTCCCGGATCTGTGGCGGGGCAAGGGCTGTCAGACCCAGTACTCAGGGCCAGCCACATTGGTACCCGCGATCAGCACGGTGTCTGGTGTCCATCCCAGAGACCTAGTCCAAGGCTCACCCGCTCCTTCAGCTTCCGGATCTCGCCAGGGACCAGGCAGTCGGCTTTGGCGATGAGGGGCACAATGTTCACCTTCTCGTGCAGGGCCTTCATGAAACCCACATCCACGGGCCGCAGGCTGCAGAGAGTAGCCAGGGCTGGTGAGGGGCAGAGCGGGGGTGGTGGGGGGCCCGGGGAGAGGCTGGGATAGGCTCAGGGTGGGCAGGCTTGTGAGCACAAGGCCAGGGGACAGGCAGTGGCCGGTAGAGCCGTGGTGCTCTGTGGAGGTGGGAGCCCGTTCCAAGGCTGTTCACGCACCCATGGCCGAAAGGGGAGATGAAGTATAGACAGCAGTGCACGCGGTTGTCTTGAATGTTCTTGCGGTTGAGGCCGCTCTCGTCGCGGAAATACTGCTCGAACTGCTGGTCCACGTAGTCAGTGATGGGCTTCCAGCTGCAGAGGGACAGGAGGGTCTGTGAGGCCAGAGGGGAGGTTGGGCCAGCCTAGGCGGAGACTGTCCCCCGGCCGAGCTCTGCTCACCATTCCGAGTTGTTGACAGCATCCCCGAAGCCTGGCGTGTCCACAATGGTGAGCTTCAGCTTCACGCCCTTCTCCTCGATGTCCACTGTGTGCTTCAGGATCTCTACAGTCTGGCTGATGCGCTCTGCGGGGGTCGGGGCATGGTCTGGGGGGGGGTCTCTCCATCTCCCAGTCCCCACCCCCACTGGGCAGCCAGGACCCTTGTTCTCATTCATTCTCATATTTGCGCCTTGGCCTGACTGTGATCTGGGCCACTCCTCCTGGACCCTGAACAGGAGATCCATGCTGTGAGAAGGGAGGAGCAGGGTCCAGATCTGGGAGGGAACCCTTTGAGGGGTCACGCAGCAGGGGATGGGGAAGCAGGGCCCACTCACCCTCGGCACTGAGCAGCTTCCGGTCCTTGTACAAGTCGGTCAGGAAGAGGCTGTGGACCAGTGTGGACTTCCCCAGGCCCGACTCACCTGCCAGCAGGTGTAGTGGAAGAGTTGGGTTAAGTCTGAGGCCTCTATGACAGAGCCTGGCTGGCTAATGGCCCAAGCCCCCCCCTGCCTGGGAGTCCAGCCCACTCACCGGCCACCATGAGCGTGAAATCAAAGCCCTTCTTCACAGACTTCCGGTGCACCTGATTGGGCAGTGTGGCGAAGCCCACGTACTGCTTGTCGATATCCTGGGGGCCGGGCAGGGCAGGTCAAGGGCATGCTGGAGTGCCTGGGGCAGTCTGATGCCCCATTCCCTACCTGGCTCAGACATGGAGGCAGCAGAGGGCAGAGTCCCCTGGGTGGGGAGTTTCAATGGCACAAATGGGGTGAGGGCCTGTGGGCGAAGGTCTGGTGGTGGAAAGGCAGGTAAGAGGGTGAGCAGGCATCCTTGCCCAGCCTCAGCGAGGGGCTCTGCAGGGACCTGACAATGTGTCTGTGTGTGTGGAGTTTAGGATGTCTGGCTGCGGCAGGCCCAGGCTGTGCCCTCCCTTGGGTGGTGGGAAGAGGGCGCCAGGACCAAGACCCCTCAGACACACCCAAGGTCCTTCACAGACCGGAGAGGCCCCCTGGCCTCAATACTCACCGTCCTGAGTGTACCGGGGGTGGGAGGCCCCATTTGGCCTTGATCCAGCCGCGGGGGTGGCTGGCTGCTGCTACCAAGGCGGAGCAAGGGCTATTTATAGACAGCGGCAAGGCGACGCCCCCGCCCGCGGGGTCCCAGTGCCCACCCCAGCGGACCCTGGCTCTACTGGTCCCTGTCACGTCCCAGAGCTCTTGGGACGGGCCCTGGAGGGCACACACACGTTGACCCACATTCCACTCCCCTCTCCACACACACCTTGAGCCGCCTCTGGGCCTGGGTCCGCGGCGACAACAGCTGCTCCACCAGGCGGTCCTGGGGCGCTGCCAGCGAGTCCATCGCGGCGTCCGCACCTCAGACCCGGTCAGGCCCCCCGGGGGCCGGGCTTACAGGAGGGACTTACGCGCGGTACTGCCTTGAAGGCCGGTTCTCGCCCCCCGTTTTACGGACGCGGGAAGTGAGGCCCAGAGAA